GGGCAATTTAGCAAGACTCAATCTCAAAAATAAAAAAGGGCTGGGGATGTAGCTCAGGGGTAGAGTGCTTGCTTAGCAAGTGTGAGGCCCTGGGCTCAATCTCCATTACTGCAAACAAAACAAAACAAAATAAGAAGTTCAAAACTTATTGTACTCTCATCTTTTCACTTAAATTTTTTTTTTTTTTTTTTTTTTTGGCACCGGGGATTGAACTTGGGACCTTGAGCTCGTGAGGCAGGCGCCGGAACCACTAAGCTAAATCCCCTGCCCCCTTTCACTTAAATTTTGACTTTTCTTTGGCATATCCAATTTGCCAGCATCATAACTCTAACACTTCAGCACCATTATAATAGAAAATAAGGCTTATGAACTTGAACACAAGCACTGACAACCAAAAAAACTTATTAAGTGACTAACAGGTGGATGGCATATACAGCATGAATACACTGGAAAAAAGGAATGATTTACATACAAGAAGAGACAATGCAAGATGTCACCACAATACTCAGAGTGGTGAATAATTCAAATCCTATATATAAATTATTTCTGGAGTTTTCCATTTCATATTTTCCGACTATAGCTGAACACAGGTAACAAACTACAGAAAATAAATTGCAGCTGGGGGGAATTACTATATACTATTTGGTTCCTTAAAACTGTTGATGCTTGAAAAAAAAGAGTATAACATGGTGTCTGCACAAATAAAAGGGTGGGGAGAAAAGAGTTAAGGAGAAGGGAAGAGATTCTTTTCAATTAAAACAGATTTAAGCTATGTAATCCCCAAATGCAGTATGTGGACCTTACACCAATTATAAAAAGACATTTTTGGGACAATGAGAGAAATATGTACAGAGACTAAGTATCAGATGATACTAAGAAATTATTAACATCATTAGGAATGATAAAAATTTTTAGTGTGATAATTTTTTCAAAAACTTATCTGGCTGGGCATGATGGTACACAACTGTAAGTCCAACACCCTGGGAGGCTGAAGCAAGAGGACTGCAAGTTCAAGTTCAGCTTGGGTAACTTAGTGAGATGTTGCTGAGTATGAAGGTCCTGGGTTCAAAACCCCGGTATCACCAAAAACCAACCAAACAAACAAAACCCTTATCTATTGGCATGGCATATGGCAGTATTTAAGGTGTACTGTAATGTGAAACAGTTCCGAAAAAAAAAGGAAGTAGGGGAGAATACACAATCTGGCAAAATGCTGGTAACTGTGGTAACTATTTAAGCTGAGTGACAAATACATGAGGGTTCTTTATACTATTTTCTCTGTGTTTCTGTTTGAAAATGATTATAATAAAATTTTACATAGCAATATAACCATATTTATTTGCAAATATGGAGGAATATAACAAAGAAAATACTTAAATAAGTTGACAACAACTGCCTAGAGGAAGTGAAATGTGAGGTTAGAACACTGTTATAAGCCTTGTATTTCTACTGGGTTTCCAAAACAAGTATATATATTTTGAAAAACTTTAAAATGCATATTCAAAAAGAAAAAAATGATATAAAAGAGAAATCGCTGATGGGTGCAAGCAGCACACATCTATAATCTCAGCTACTTGGGGAGGAAACTCAAAGCCATGCTGGGCAAGATCCTATCTCAAAATAAAATATAGAAAGGGCTGGGAGTGGAGGTTAGAGCAAAAGCAGACACTGGGCTCACTTCCCAGTACTGAAGGAGAGGGAAGGAGAGAAAGAGAAAGGGGAAAAACAGAAGGACAGAGGAAATGAGTGACAGAGGGAGAGAGGGGGGAGGGGAAAGGAGAGGGAGGAAGAGAGGGGAAAGAGGAGGACAAAAGGAAGGAGGAAGGAGACAGGAGGAAGAAGGGGAGGGAGAGAAAGAAACTTTTAGCTAACAGCTCCATTAGTTTAACAGAAACAACCCCACTTCTCATTACTTTTGCCTAGATTAATAACCTAACAAGTGTATCTTTTATGTACTCTGCACATCACCAGCAAAAATGTTTTCATAGAACTAGTCTTGAGATGTCTAATGAGAGCTGAGTCATATTAAAGACATTTCCTAAAGGAGAAAAAAATAAACAATAACTAAAGAAAAATCAGAATCCTTGGGAGAGGAGCAAAGAAAAAAGACATTTCCAAGAGTGATTCATAGTATCAAACAAAGAACAGAGAACTTCCTATTTCAATATGACAGAATTAAACATCTATCTCCTTTCCACTCTGCAAACATAAGCAGAAAATACATCTTCAATGAAACTTAGGCTTCTAAATTCCAACTCCAGAATATAAGGAAAGAAGAGAGAATGGATTGGGCTAGGTAGGGAAAAAAACTCAACATACAGTGGCTGCATTTCCTTGTTTCGAACAGTAAGTGTAGGAAATAGTTCTCTAGAAAAGAGGCATACCCAATACCCTTTGCAATAATATGATCCAGATATGCTGAATCTGGTGCAAGCAACATACAGCAATGGATTTCACCTGACCCTGACAAATGGTAGGGAAGGCAGAGCTGAACAAGGAGATGCAAACAAACATTATTGTTGTTATGAGCAGACTAGTGGAATAGGAGGATGAAAGAAAACACTGAATGCTAAAGGAAGCATACTAATGACAATCTCTCTTTAACTTGGGTGAAAGGATAAACCAACTCAACACAAATCCTTGTATGATAAGGATGTCATTGTCAGGTACAGAAGCTTTTTACTACCTGTTATGGCTTGTGTGTAGATGTCCCCCCAAAGCCTCATGCAGTCTTGTTCAGAAGTGGCTGAATCTGAATTGTGTGATGCTGGGATTAAGGTTTGGCACTACCCTAATCCTAGTAGTCTGGATGGGATAAAAGGGACAGAAAGATGCTATTAAGGTACCTTTTTACTTTTGTTATCTTCTGGCTGCAATGAATTGTTTCTCCTCTCCAAGGCCTGTCTTCCACACCACCCTGCCTTGGAGCCAGATGATTATGGACTGAAACCTCTACAAACTGTAAGCCACATAAACCCTTTCCCATCTAGCTTCGGGTATTTTGTCTCAGCAATGAGAGAAAAGTAACTAACACACTACCTAAGAACATTTTTTTTCTGTACAAGCTTCAATACTATCCTGTAAGTAGTGAGTCCAGGAAGAAATGCCCTCATTTAAAGTAAATAATGACAATTATAAAAATAACTAATATCAAATCTACATAATGATGCTATAAGAAACAATAAAATAAGAATCCACAAATTAAAAGAAAAAATTGATCTCAATTGATCAATATTAAAATATGGTCTTATAAAATTCTCAACAGCCAACAGATTTTTTTAAAAAACCCCTATGGACATCCAGGCAAATAAATCAAGTGATCTAGGAAAAAATTAATCAGACTTCTTATCCAAGCAACATTCAAAGCTGGGAAACAATAGATAATTGTCTACATCAAAATTAAGTACTGAGGTAAAGTACTGAGGTCCAAAGCCCTTAGGGAACTGTCTACATTAAGCTTTTGGGGAAAAAGTATGGTTCAAGAATTTTAGACACAGCCACCTATAAAACAGACATAAACATTAAAGAAAAAATATTTTTCATATATAAAACCTCAAGGACTCTATTTTCCACTAAATTACAAGCTCCATAAGGGCAGGACTATGTTTTGTAGTTACATGCCCATGTCCAGAACAGTACTTTACTCTTGACATAACTACTATAAATGTGGTTTCCTTCCTTTTGTATCTTCTTCTTGGTGATATACATATATATAAACTATTAATTTTTATTTGTTAATTTTCTACCACTTTACTGTATTCTTTTAGTATTTATAGCACCTTGTTAGTTGGTATTCTTGTATTTTTCAGGAATACAAATCCATCATCTAGAAATAAAGATGGTTTTACACTTTTCTTTTCAATTCTTATAGAACTTTTTTCTCTTCTCTAATATGTAAGCCTAAACCTAATGAGAAATGTCTAAAAGTTATAAAGGAAAAAATTTAAAGCTCCATTTCTGAAAGGCATAAGATAGATACAAACATACTACATCTTCTTGAATAAAAACCCTTCACATTCTAAAGATAATACAGATGGCAAATTGCTGAATGTTAATTCACACATCTAACATAAATAATACCACAGGATTTTCTCTGTAAATACATACAGAGTTAAGTCCAAAATTCATATGCTAAAAAGAACAATAATTAAGAATAGCTAGAACAACTCTGAAAAAATAAGTACATAATTGAAGAAAGGAAGGGACTAAGTGTTAAGAATAAGAGGAAGATTTACTTTTCAATGTACCTTTTGGATTATTTATATTTTTAACCAAGTATTCAAATAGTGTATGATCAAAACCTTAAAGAAATGGAAGGTGGTTATAAGGAAGAAGGAGACATCATGGGATTTCTAAACTAGAAACTTAGATTCCTGAGCCATGAGATTATGAGGGTTATGCAGTACAATGGTAAGTATGATTGCCATTACAAAACACAAATCTACCAGGCGTGATAGCACACACCTGTGATCCCAGCGCTCAGGAGGCTGAGGCAGGAGGATTGCCAAAAGTTCAAGGCCAGCCTGAATTATATAGTGAGACCCTGTCTCAAAAAACAAACAAACAAAAACCTCACAAATCTGAAGCTTTTCAAAATACAAACAAGGAAAAAAGTTAAAAGGAATCTAAGTGTGAAACAAATATATCTTTAAAATAACTACACATCTTTCAAATACTGAATGCATAAGAAAATAAAACAGCACAAAAGAGAGTCCAAGGAACAGAGAGGAACAAAAATCCCCAAAATAAGTTGTAAATAAATTAGGGAAGGCTGGCATCCTGAAATCAGATTAGGGTATTGGACCTCTGAATTAAAAGGGGGGGCCCTCCGATACAAGAATAATAATATCTAGAAATGTCACAATAATCCAAGGCATTCATACCATTTGTGACACTAGAAATAAGGCCTTTAAGAAAATCTTGGAAAATGTGAAATGGTATCAACCCTTTCCTGAAACTTATGTAGCCAGCTCGTTTAGAGGTGCTTTTTACTTATTCACCTGGAGAGTGCCTCCAAAACATTTCTTCCTCCATCACCCATGGCTCCTCTTCTTGTTCCAACTTGAAGATCACATCTGGTTTGGTAACTTGACAGCCTATTATGGAAAAGAACAAAGAACTTGGATGTTAATGCTGGAGACAACCATACAGACCTTGGGCTAAATCCCAGGGGCTTGAAGGCTTATGAAGGATGAGGATAAAGGAACATCCACACTGACAGAAAGTAATGAGTCTTTACCCAGAAGACTAAAGCACATATAATCATGTGAAAAAAGGGAAGGCTAATTCATCTGGCATACCAAAGTCTCCACACATTTCAGAAATGGAAAGAAATTCTGCTTTAACTGCAAAGCTACCCTTACCCACTGTGACTAGGTTGCTATAGTTCTCCAGCATCACATCACGGTACAAGTTCCTTTGAACAGGTTTCATTTGCTGCCATTCTTCCTGGGTAAGGTCCACAGCCACATCTTTAAATGTTACTGTTTCCTATAAAAATACAATCTTAATTAAGTTGAAATCATCAAATTAAGTATTGAAGTAAAAAAGAACTTGTTTAGCTAGAATTCAGGGGTCAGATTTCATTAAAATTATTTATTAGATCTTTATACTTACCTAATTTTGTACTATACAATGAAGAGAAATACAACACATTAGAAATATTCTGTCATAGTATGTTAATTATTGAGTCACCAAACATTAGTTCATCATTTACTAGATGATGAATCTATGGAACCAGTGGTCACTGATTTTTATTGGGCTATGACAGAGATGAAAAGTTGGATATGACTCACAGGTAACTGCCTCAAAACCTGGCCAACTGATTGTGTGATCTAGTGAGAAAGGCAACATAGCAGAGAATGGAAAGGAAAGAGGAAAAAAGCAGAAAAGGGGGCATTAAAATTTGAACATGTAAAGCTGAAATTTCCTATAGGAATTCCAGATGAGAAACGTCCACTATACAATCAGAAGAAAGGAGATGAAAATGTTTTAGCCATTAACCTAAATGAAAATGTGAATCCATGGCTGAAAAATGTAAGTGGTTTTAGAGAACATGCACAGTGGGTAATAGGGCCAAGGACGAGATCAACAGTTAAACATCAAAGAAAGAGACCCCAACTTTTATTTTATTTACAACCAAAGTATTAGACTGTAAAAAATGTGACTTGATCACAAATATCTAGATCTTCCTCATTTAAAAACTTCAATATCTAAGTAAGAATGAAAATCTTAAATTTGCAAAGGCTCAGAGAAAGAAAAGCATCCACATATTCCATATTTGGTGGAATTTATTTAAAAAATAGCACAAATGGGATGAGATAAAATGAGAAGTACAAATGGAAATCACCAAAAGCAGAACTTCAAGGAATGCTGCAGAGAAACCATTACGATCACTAATATTGTCATTACTGTCATCTGCTGAAAACTTATTCTCAGGCAATGTTATAATTATTTTTGATCCCTTAACTTCTACAATTCCCTAACAAGGCTATGAAGTAGCTATTACTATATTATCCATTTAAAAGAGAAGAGAACTGGGCTTAAAAGTAACTCTCCTCTGGTCACAAAGCTATTATTTGGTAGAGCTGGGAATTCTAGCCCAGGTGGCTCAAAGTTGTAGGTTCTCACCCATTATACTATACGTCCCCTTAAAAATCAGCACGTTTTCTCAGAATCCCACAAATATCCTGATTCAAGATAAACAACAGGGCATATGAGGCTGCCTATACCTTAAACTCCCTTTCTTTATTGCTGAAGTTTCACTTAAAAACATCTAAAATTACCAATGACAAGAAACCATAGGAAAAATATGAGATAAAAAAATAGTGATACATAATCCTGACTTTACAGTGAGATGTCTGATGAAACAGTGAGGAAGAAGAATAAAGACAAAACCAGATGAGGAAAACTAACTTTTGCCTGCAATGGTTTCTCTAATCATGGTATAAATAAAAGCACACATGATATTTTTGAGGTTATTGCCAAATATATGATTAACAAACTAGTCAAATGAACTCACAAAAACCTCTGTTTAAAATTTTAGATAAAGCCAGGGGTGGTGGTGCATGCTTGTATTCCCAGCATTCAGGAGGCTGAGACAGAAGGATTGCTGCAAGTTTGAGGCCAGGATGGGCCACAGAGTGAGTTTAAGGTCAGTCTGAACCACGAGTCTCAAAAAAAAAAAGGATTTTAGGTGACTATCTAGGCACAGTAGTCCGTGCCTGTAAGTCCCAGCTACACTTGAGGCTGAGTTGGAAGGATCACTTAAGCCCAGAATTCAAAAGTAGCCTGGGCTAAGGCTCCAGAAAAGACTTTAGTGAAGAATGAAGAAATCATTAAAGTAACTTTAGAGCAAATACTTGGTATAAAAGACATGGTAAATGTAGAAACAAATTAATTTTCCACTTTAAAAGGCCATAAAATATATGTATATATATGTATATATATACACATATATATATCTCCATTTTGAAAAATTGCTATCTTTTTTTTTTTTTTTTTTTTTTTGTACCGGGGATTGAACTTGGGTCCTTGTGCTTGCACAGCAAGCAGCGAAACCACTGAGCTAAATCTCCGGCCGAAAAATTGCTATCTTGATAACTTCAATAAACTAGGCAAATACCTGATACGCCTAAACAAAAACAAAAAAACCCTAAAAATAAGATCCAATAAAACACAACTAAAATAATAAAATATAATTAGCCAAGTCTAGAAATTTAAAAGAACATGCAATTTTAAAAGGTATGTCTTTAAAAAGCTATGAGAAGAGTTCTACTTCCTAGACAGCAGTACAAGGTATCTATATACTAGGTTCTCAGGAAACAAGTAAAAAATTTTTTTTGTTTAAAAAATCACATATACCCATAAACCTATTTGGGAGGCTAAGGCTGGAACATAGTAAGTTCAAAGCAAGCATGGGAACTTAACAAGACTTTGTCTCAAAATTAAAAATAAAACGAGCTTGGGATGTAGCTCAGTGGCAGAGTACCCACCTACCATGCATGAAGCCCTGGTTTCATTCCAATACTACAAAGAAAGCACAAAAACAAAAAACAAACGCAAACAAACAAAAACACTAGTCTCTGAATCGGACATGGTAACATGAACTTGTACTCTGAGAAACTCAGGAGTCTGAGGCAGGAGAATTGCCATAAGTTCAAGGCCTGCCTGCCTGGGCTTCATATCTGAAGGCCAGTCTGAACTAGATAGTGAGACTCTGTCTTAAAAAAAAAAAATCAACCAGGGCCAGGGATTTAGCTCAGTGGCACTCCACCTGCCTCACAAGCGGAAGGTCCTGAGTTCGATCCCTGGTACCAAAAAATAAAAATAAAATTTAAAAAACCAACCAACCAAAAAAAAAAAAAACCAGAACAGACCCCAATCACCTAACAAAATCAAAATCCAACAAATAAAACCCTAGAAATTGTCTTAAGGCCATACAGCAAATAGTTTTTCAAAAGAATCTACTAAAATGCCAAAAACTGTAGATAGTCCGGGGGCACACAGACTGATATCCTTGAATGTGCACAAAAGAAAAAGAAAAAAAAACTACAAATCCAATCCAATAGCATATAAAAAGCTCTATGCACCACAATCAAGTGAGATCATCCCAGAGATGCAAGGATGGTTCAATATAATCTCTCTTGGTTCTTATTTTTTTCCCCCTTCCCCTGGCCTCCCTTCAACCCCTCCATCCCTCCCTATTTACAAAGACTTTGTTTCCATTTTTTCATTTTCTCATATTAATTCCATTCCCTTCTTTCCTTTCCCCTATCCCTCCCACTTCCCCTTCCTCTTTGCCCCTGGATGGTTCAATATAGTGCAATCAATAAAGGTAATGCATCAAAAAATGAAGGATAAAAACCATATGTATATCTCAACAGACACAAAAAAGCATCTGATAAAACTTAACATGACTTCATATAAAAATACCCAAAATAAGGTACAGTATAGAAGAAATGTACTTCAACACAATTATGGTAAGGATGACATATGATAAACATAGCCTACATCATATTGAAGGGGGAAAATCTGAAATTGTTAACACTAAGATCAGGAAGAAGACAAGAATATCCACTTTCACCACTTTCATGCAGTATCGTATTGGAAATCTTAGCCAGAGCAATAAGAGAAAGAAATGAAGTGTATCCCAATAGGAAAGGATATGTCATGTCTGTTTGCAGGCATGATTTTAAAGATAGAAAAACCTACCAATAAATAAATAAATAAACAAGCAAATAAATAAGTAAATATGTATCATCTGCAGTTTCTTTACACATCAATAGTTAAATTCCTGAGAAACTAATCAAGAACATAACATCATTCAAAAAAGTTAGGTGCTGTGGCACATGGCTTTAATCCCAGTTACTCTGTGAAGCTGAGGCTAGACGATTCCAAGCTCAAAGCCAGACTAGGCAGCATAGTGAGACCCTGTCTCTGAAAAAACAAAATAAAGCACCCAGGAATAAATATAACCAAAGAAGGGAATGATTTCTACAGTGAAAATTATAAAATGTAGGGGCTGGGGATTTAGCTCAGTGGTTTCTCCACCTGCTACACAAGCACAAGGACCCAAGTTTGATCCCCAGTACCAAAAATAAAAAAAAAAAATTATAAAATGCCAATGAAAAAAGTTGAAGAGGACAGAAAAAAGTAGAAAGACATGTCATACTAAAGGAATACTGTTTTGTTTTGCTTGTGATTGAACCCAGGTACAAAGTGCTTGCTCTACCAGTGCTATTCCCTTGGACCTTGAATTAATATTGTTAAAGTGTCCATAGCGTCCAAAGCAATCTACAGATTCAGTGCAAAACATCGATGATATTACTCCCAGAAATAGAAAAAAATGCTTGTAAAATTTGTATCACCCACAAAAGACTTCAATAGCAAAGCAATCCTAAAGAAAAAGAACAAGGATGAAAACATTACAATACTTGACTTCAAAACTTACCACAAAGCATCATTAAACCAAACAGCATGGTACTGGCATGAAAACAGACATACAGACCAATGGAAAAGAACAGAGTCCATAAATAAATCCATGTATTCACAGACAACTGATTTTCAACAAAGGCAGCAAGAACATTCACTAGAGAAAGGAAAGTTTCTTCAATATATGTTGATAGGAAAAATGGATATTGTTAGGCAGAAGAAAGAAACTGGCCCTTGACTTGCCATATAACAAAAATCAACTCGAAATGGATCAAAGACTTAAGCAAAAATTGGTAAATGGGATGTTTAACTTAAAAGCCTCTGTAAGCAAACAATGGAATGAAGAGATAACCTATAGAATGAGAGAAAATATTTGCAAACTATTCATCTGACAAGGAGTTAATTTCCAGAATATATAAGAAACTCAACAGCAAAAAACTCAAATAATCTTATTTTAAATTGAGCAAATGACCTGAATACATATTCTGCAAAAAAAGAATAAATAGCCAACAAGTGTATGAAAAACTGCTGAACGTCACTAATCATTAGGGAAATGC